GGATCATCTTGCCTTTGAAAATTAGTAAGTAACAAAAGATGATACAATTTCCATACAAATAATCTGTAAACTTGCAGGCTTGTTGCTGGTGGCAATTGAGTCAATATCTACATTAAGCCCATCGAAATCTGGGTCTGGGTGACAATTATCGTTTTTAAACCATACAAACATACTCAACAATTAAATACAACCTTGTAAAATTTTGAAATGGATATTTGAATATATACAATTTATTTTGTATTATTTTGGATATTTAGGCATTCGTAATTATTTCAGATATTCATAATTATTTCAGATACTTGTATTTATTTTGAATATTCATTACAAATATTCATGATATTTGAAATTTGATTTACGAATATTCAAATGGGGTAGGATTGCAGTTAGGAACCCTACTCTGCAAAAAACATTTTATTTCCTTTTTTTTTTTTATAAAAATTTAAAATTTGGTTTGTAAATCTTACTTGGGGGGTAAGATTTATTTTTAATAGTAAAATAAATCTTAATCAAATCCTAAGATTAAATAAATTTTGATCAACAAACTTATGAGGGCAGACCAGTTAATCTAATCTTAATCAAATCAAATTTTTAATTTCTGAGGACGGACGCCCATTACATAGAGGTTCATACATTTAACACTGAATTTTCATACATAAACTGAAATGAATTTCATGCAAGTGAATCAAATTCACGCACAAGTGTAACATTCAATTTTCAAAGCATCAAAGAACTGTAACGTAACTAACTATGTAATGAACATCCATAATTTACATGAAATGTCAAATTTATTTTTAAATTTCACAATTACTTATTTCCATGAATATGAAATATAATTAGTCTGGGTAATATTGTTTCTTATAAAAAAGGCAGCGATTTAATCAATAATTAAACTCATAAATAAAATTCTATTCTCACAAATAAAATTTTATACAAATAAAACTCCATCTTTACAAAGAAATCATGAAGTTTATTTTTGCTTTCCTTTTATTGGCTACGCTCTCCATGGTGGTAAATGCTATTCCACATCAACTTCTTAAAAGAACTACTGCCTTTAATCAATGTCCTCCTACAACATCTGGAGAACAACCACCACCTCAACTCAATGTCGTACTTTCATCTGATCCTGTCATTCCTGGACAAACTGATAGTTTTACTATTTCTGGAACACTAAGTCGTCCTGTCACCGATGGCGACATTACCGCTGTTGTATTTATTGATCCTGTAGCTAAGGCTCCCATAAGTGATCCAACTAGTGCGCCAGCCGACCCTAAAACACCATTTTCTCAAGTATTGAATGTTAATGTGCCAGCAACATTACCTGATCCATACAGTATTCTAGTTGGTGTTGTAAATACAAAAACTGGGGAAATTATAGGCTGTGCTGAATCTGCAGATCTTGACTATTATCCCATCCCATTATTATAAATTATAATTAATAAAAATCAAAATAGAATATTATTATTGTTTATTAAACAACGTTCTTAGAACGGATTCTATTAATTTAATATTTATTATTTTACGTATTACATTATTTAATATTGTCATTAATTTTTATATTTACATGTTGCTTTAAATAAAAACAAATTCAAATTTATGAATTTCCGAAATTTTTATTCACTAGTACTAGAACACCTAGGTAAAAAATATGGCAGTATCCTTTGGCACAACCACACCACAACGAATGCAAAAAACAACCCTGACAATATTCTGACTAATATCTAGGTTGGCAACATCACCTATTGTTTCATTTCAGATTTCTTTGTCTATGACCAACTATGTTTGTTATATTCTAATTTTGATGTTGATTATATTGGCTTAATTTTCAATTTAAAATATCGCCAAATCTATTTTGAAGGTCGTGGGAGTGTAATTTCAAATCCGTGTAACAAATCGGGTTTTAAAAATATCTCGACTTTCTAATAATAAACTTGAACTTCACTATTAAGAGAAAAAGAAACTACACCATTTAAGCCTTCTAACCATATATTTTTATATCTGAGAACACTCCCTATATAAAGCTATGACTATTTAAAAGTAGTGGTGCTTTTTCACTTCAAAGTTGTGATTATCTACCAATATTGCTTTAAAAGACTTGATAATACTTTAAGCTTTCATATGGTTATTAATTTATAGGGGGTGTTGGTTAATAGGTTTTAGAGAGGCTTACGAAAACTCTTTCAGAGACTTTTAATATTATTCATGTAAAGATCATTCACTGAATCTTTTTTTTTACAATTAACAAAAAAAATAATATATTGAATGGGACAGTATATCAATTATTTAAAATAATAAATTCTATAGGTATATTATTTATTTGATGAATTAGAAATAGAAAAAAAAATTTTTACCATTTGAACTAATGGAAATATTAAAAAAGTTAAGTATTTTTGTTTCTTTTGTATTTATTATACCAATGAACTTTAATTTGTTTTAAGTCCAAGAACTTGAATAATTTTTTAATTTCATCGATAATTTTTCAACAAAACTTGCAGGCAAAGATTCTGTATGCTGATCTAACTTTTTAAGAATTTCTCTTTCTTCATCTGAAAGCACCCTTCTTTGAATTACAATTAGATCTGGTAAAGTTAAATTTGAGGTAGAAGGTACTGGAACATCCTTTTCAATTT